TGAATAAGTGCCACCTAATGAGAAAAAATAAGCAAGGCTAGCAGAGACACCTAGCACTGAACTTAATAATGGATAGGACCGAAGTCCAGCTCACAAGTTTCCCATGTGGAGAATGTGTGTGAAGTATCTTAACCATCTTCAATCTTCTTGTTTTGAGCTTGGAGACTGGGACACCAAAGTTTTGTCCGATTTTCAATTTCCTGGACATTATCCTGGCTTAAACGCCTGGTATTTTCCGTGAATATGGCCGAATATTTTGTTTGAAATAGAGCCGCCGAACACTTGTGATCAACTGACCCTTCTTTTTTCCTTGGCCGGTAAATATCCATGCCAGGGCCCAATGACTGTGCCACCCTCTTGGGCTCGCTGTCTGAGTCTCCTGCGTAAGACTGGACACTCCCTGGCCACTATTCTTTACGGGACAGGATCTACACCGAGGCCATAACAGCTGAACCTAGCGGTCGAGTGCAAGGGCCTGCAGAAATTGAAAGAAGGTGAGAAACTAAAAAACGGTGCTGGACAGATACGATAGTTACCGGTAATAAGTATGTTGTAACAACATAACTGGAACTTTATAGTTACATCTGTCCCTTGATTTCCTGACTAACCAGTATGTATATCATCTTGAAGTTACTTCCGCACGTTCCATTCATTTCTCGGTCGGGCCATTCATCTTCGTTCTACGACAGAAATCTCGGCGACCTAATCTTATGGATCTTGGTATAAGACTCCTTGTGGTCCACATATAGCTTGTGAGCAGGCTCCCAACCGCGAAGCTGCAATTTTTCCTCACGTTTACTTGTCTCCCTGAGCACCATAATTCAGTCAGCCCCACGCCTATTTTTGGGATTACCCCAAATACAAGCCCTATGAGATTTAGGTGCTGCCAGCTGACTTGCTATCAAGGATTGGCCCTGTTATTTCTTTAGCCGGCTTCGGCTTGAGAGCAGCATCCCGTTTACCGTTAATCTAAATCCAACTATCTACCCGTATCGCCCTTGCTTCTCCCGAATTTAGCGCAAAACAGAGTGACGCTTAGTCGGCATCTCCACCCTTCTCCACTAAGACTCACATTTCTTAATATTCATTATTTGGCTCGCCTGGTTATAATTGATTCGGTTTCCCTGTCACTTTCTCCCAGGAAAAAATCAAATCAGCGCTATCAGGAAGAGAGCCACTAAACTTAATCGGACCTTACTCTAATCTCGTTCCCGTGGAAAGTCGTTAGTACCCCAAGCTACAGCTTGGTTGCAACCAAGCAAGGGCAGCACTCCCTCCTTAAAACTTGTTCTAATACTACGGTTGCCCGTTAACTAAACAGACTAGATCGTTCCAACAAGCCCCTAAAAGTCGCGAAACCTTCCTTTGGGTTTGTCGTACAAAGCAAGTATTGGTTTGGGGAACTGGTGACGGAAATCAAAATCTGTAAATCTGCGCTAGCCCCTTATCTCGCCTCCGGCGCATCGGCCCTCTCACCTCGATCCGTCGTGGGGCGGGAGTATCTCAGACCATATCAGTGGGATGGATGGTGATAGTCACCAACGAAAGACGTATGGCCCTTCTGGCTACCGAACGGGCTCTGGAATTGGACAACATCCTATTCGCCATTTGTCCGGCAGCTCATCAGATCGCTTCAGACAACAGCAACAGCCCGAACCAGCTCGAGGACCTGATACTCATGAAGTGATACCTCAAGACCGGACCTCGTCACTCTCTGCCTATGGGGCCTATGTATACACAGAGCCACCGTCCTGCAATACTCCATCGCTACAGGGCGGGACGTTGCAGGGTGGAGGGTTACAATATGAGTCGAACTTTTCCTCCACTTCACCCAGAAACCAGCAACCAGACCAGCAGCAGCAGCGGTTATCACAATATGATGGCGATATGGTATATGGTATCACGCCCCAAGCCCAGCCACAGCCTCCGTACGAAGGGGTGTCACAATACCAGCCGCGACAGTCTGCGGCCATCGAGGTGCTGGCAACTCAATTCGGTGTTCCACAGTATTTCCAACCAGCAGGACCAGCAGTTGCAGGAGTATCTGACCAGTACTTAACTGCTTCCCAAGTTCAGTCGACCCAATATTCACAGCCGGCTTCTCCTACGCGCGCATCTACGACATCAGCATTACCCGAGATTATGGCTGACCTCCACGCTTCCGCAGCGACTGAAGGACTCGAGCATGCAGATTTTCCTCGCGAGTCGCCTTCTGGTTTTGACGACGCTTATAACCAGTACCAACGAGCTCTTAGACAAACATTTGAAAATACCCGATCTGGCAGATTGCTAGATGCAAGCCAGTCTTTATTAGAGATATCCGAGTGGCTTCTCGGGAATGCAACGGAGCTTGGTACGTACCATCCACACGTTGCTGTTTGCTCCCCTCTTTCATTCACTTGGCACCTAGGTGGTGCATTACCTTTCGAGCTAATAGCTGATTTCAGGTCTTGCTCGCGACGAGGAAGAACTGCGCCCGGATCGAATAAAACTGTGGAATGAGTTTAATACCTGCTGGCTTGCGGTATGCCAGAAACAAAAGGATATGACCCAAGAAGTGTTGGAAACCCGATCCGGCGCCACACCGCAAAACCTTTTAACGGAAGATATTTTGAACAAGATGGGAAGGGAACTGGTCCGCCTGTGTGATCGAATGGAGGAGCATGGTCTTGTTGACTACCAGATGGGCGTATGGGAAGAAGAAATTCTAAGCGGTAAGAAGTCGAATCAATCACACCTGAGTCAATTTTACCACAACCAGGGCTCCCTTAGCTCACTTGACCGTCTGAATCTAGTGCTGGGCCAATGTCTTGACCTCCTCGAAGGAAACGAGAACAATCCTGCGATAGGAAGTTCCGCCAAAACATCTACCTCCACAGTTCCACGATGATCGAGCCCAGTTCTCCCCTTTCACCGCTCTTCTGATGACCGTGATGTGTTTCCTTATTTTCGTTGCACCTTAATCGTATTATACAATACTGCATCAGCGATGGCGCATAGTCATGTTACGCTTTCTCTTTTCTTGATCCTCCGTGGGTCACCAGGGTCACATTGTCGTTTTCAACGGCGCAGATAATTATGTCAAATGAATGCGTGCCGGCTCGTTCTCAATGTGCATGTGCATGAAGCGAAGGTTGCGGGTCGATCTACTAGTGTTACAACTGAGAGTTTGGAACCGAGAAATCCCTTTGAGTGACATCCACTAATGTTTAATATCCATTGCCGGTGAGCTACCGCTGTTCGTCGACTGTTTCCCCTCTCTATATCTTCTCTATATCTACCTAATTTACAACGCTCCTATGAGGACGCGGAAGCTGGGCTACATTCGAGTGCATTTATTATCGTCAATATTTCTTTCACATAATTCATGTGACCCCTTTGGTTGATTTGCACAATACGCGTATGAAACCGTTTAATATTGGCTACGTCGTTTTTACTTTTATTTCACGTCTCTTTTCTGTTTTTGGAGGAATGGCATGCACGTTTTGCATCTAGAAGGTTGAATATATGTAGATCAGGCTGGGGAATTGGTGCGATTCGCGATTATTTGATATGTTAATGCTGTCTTGCCCTTTCCATCTGATTTTTCTATTCTTTCTTTGCCCATTGGTCGTTATAGCAGAAGTGATCGCACGTCCCAACAGACATTGAGCTGGGAAGTGGATTACGATATACTTTTAATATTGTTTGGCTACCTATGCTCCTCCGGTTTTATCTCCCAGTTTTTCCGATCTTGCAGTGTTGCTGACAGCATATATATACATATATTAACCTGACATTTTGCATCTCACGTTATTTTCTTCTTAGCTGTGATTCGGCTCGCATTTTTTCAGAACCTTTACTTATTCTTTCCCTCCTTACCTTCCTATGGAAATTGCCAGTCAAAATGACTTTGTGAGGCCAACCCGCTTCCGTCTATGGGGCCCTGAAATTAATGAGATGGACGATGGTTAGCTGCTTTTCTTTTGCAGGATCGCACAAGGATCAGGATCACATTACACAGTTAGTTATAAGCCATCTGCGTTGCATTTCAATGTAGCCAAGCGTCTAAGATAACACTTGCAGGAAAAAAGTTTTAATTTCTCACTCCTTGCTATGCTTTGGCAGCCAATGGAAGTTTTAGGATGTTGGTGGTTGGTGGTTGGATCTGCGGTAACAATGTACTACCCCTTTCTTTTTCAATCATGCATGCATCCACGCCTCAATAAAACTACCCAGGGACCGGTTTCTTTTCCTTTTGGTGATAACGGACTGGCTTTGGTTATCTTGTACTTTGATATATTTCCCCTAGTGGCCCTAAGCAACAGCGGATTAATTGCTGACAGGTTGCGCTGTTCATTATTGGTCCTGCAGATGATAAAAACCCCTTAACAAACTCCTTTCCAGAACAGCACGTATCTAAATTATACCCAGTTTATTCGGACTTCCTCCAGAAGGCTGCCTCGCCTGTCTTCACACTTTAAAGTCTATGAGACGCATCATTCACTCCGTTTAGCACCGGCCCATATCTAACAACCGACTATATAACCTGGCTAACATCATCATCTGCTCAGTTAACCCCTTTATACGCCGTACAAGATTTAAAAAGCTAGAGAGAAAAAAGGGGACAATCAGGCATAGTTAGTTTACACTTGTCACTTGTTGCCACTGTACCTACCTCCGTACCGTATCGTAGTTACCGCTTAATGCATTTCCACATCTATCATTTATCATTTGCAATTCGTCAGTTCCTCATTATTGCTCCTGCAGCTGCCAGCACGCCGACTTGAAATTTCGAACCAATCATGAGCACCGGGGTGTAATCTTTCTTTGTATTATTATTGCGAATTTGCGAATTTGAATTGAAATGGAATGGGATGGAATGCCCTATGGACTGACTGGTTCTACATTTACATCTTCACCTTTCCCACGAACTAGAGAGTCTAATTGCCCATCATTCTGCAAGCTCTGAGTTTCGTCTCGACTTTTGTACTGTACATTCGTATAACGAGAGATGCAGATGGGAATTGAAAATGTGAATATATTATTTCCCATATATGTATATTGCGCTAAGGCTTATATATATATATATATATATATATGTACGTATGTATGTATGCATATGTGCTTGTTCTTAATTACTCCCCGTTTCTCAAACAATTTTTTTTTTCTTTTGTTTTTTCTTTTCCATTTTCCCTATGTAATTGGAGAATAAGCCACCCATTCCCACTTCCTTCGGCCTTCCTCCTTCCAGAAACTCGAACTGGATAGAAGAAATCGACCGGAAGTCGCATGTTTCAAGATAGTTGAGATCGTCAATGTTTTTTTTTTCTTTTTTCTTTTTCCTTTTTCCTTTTTCAAATTCGTAGATTTGGGATTCGCCTTCCATTTAAACATTCTCAACGGCTTAGAATTTGTTTCCAACCGTCCCCGTGTTGGATGCATATCATGTGCTCGATTCAGGTTTACGGCCGTAGGCAATGTATCTGGTCGACGGATAGTTAGTCAACTCACTTAAGTCAGTCCGTTTAGGGGACCCCAGGGGGTGTGGGGGGTGAGGAGGTGGTTGAATTGTACTGGGACCATGGACAAGGGGGGGAAGGGTTAGTAAATAGGCACACTTACAGATCGAACTGTGCGTGCATTTTTGGATTGCGGAGGTCCTTCACCACCTCAGAGACGAAGGCTTGGATGGCATCAGGAGACCATCCCAATACGCGTGAGAAGAGGGCCAAAGAAAATCCTTCCATGCCCTCGATGACTTGGAGGAGGTTCCAGGTCCCGACCGTTTTCTGTGTTATAATCATTAGTTCTGTTAGTCCATGCATGTGGTCTTTGGGTTCGGAGTGAACTCTACAGTCAACTCAGCCCCTTCTTCCCATTGTTTCTCTAATTACACAGGTCTGGTGGGAGGGAAACAAAAATAAACAAGCAAATAAATGAAATACTGAAATATAATGATGATAAAGGACGGATACGCACCAATTTCGGATCTTTCGGCCACCTCCCAACAGGAACCCGCATCTTCTTAACAACCACATCCGTGAAACCAGCGCCGCGGACCAGCCCTTCAAGTCTAGGCCCGGGCGCCAGCTCCCGGCCATGCTGGCGGGCAGCTTCATAGAACAGGCTGAACCATCGACCGAGGGCTGACTTGGGATCGTACGATCCGTCGTCGGAATACCAATGAACATCGAAGTCTTGGAATTCCGCCCAGCCGCCAGGTGTCAGGTGCCTGCAGTAGAGAGCGTTGAGATTAGCATGGATGTACGATATACATTATGTGTATGGTGGTTGGCTAATAGAATGAAATGCGCATCTATGGCGAGGATAGAACGGGACTTACTCAAAACATCTTTCAACCAGCCGTGGCCAATCTCGTATTGCAGCGTACATGTAGCGGCAATGGATGTAGTCGAACGAGTCGATAAATGCCCACTCGCTTTCTATGTCGTCGATTTCGAATCTCACGTTTTCTGGGGTGGCGTGCCTTCAACAAGGTGGAGGTTAAAAATGATTTCCTTCTTTTCCTGTTGTTTTGGTTTGGGGAGTTGCTACATACATTGTGTTTCGTATTGCGCTCAAGTCCACGCCTAATATCTGATGTGCCGTTAGATTAACTCTTAGGTGTAGTCGGCTGGCCAAAGATATTGGCGCCTGTTACCAGTATACATCCTAAACATACCTGTGCAGAAGGATATTCATCACCTAGGAAGCTTATATTAGCTCGCTTTTTTTTTTTTTTTTTTTTTTTTTTTTTTTTCTTCCGAGAACAAGAGCTTTCACGGAGAATTAGATGCCAGAACATACCCATTTCACAGCACCAAATGCCCGTCCCAGCTCCAATATCGAGGATATTCTGGGGACTCGGTCCAATGGGTGCAAGGTGAAGCTTTTCATCGCAGAGCGTGACCATCATATAATGAACGATATCAAGTCGGTTACTCTCCTTCTGCGGTGAGAAAATGAGCAATCAGTCAGAGGCCTGCTACCCATAAATCCGGAGCGAGGTATCCAGAACAAAATATGGGAGTTTGACTCAACTAACTTCGTCGTTGGGAAATATGTATGCTATTGAGATAGTTTTAGAAATATTTTGAGAGTTGAAAAGAAAATTGCCCAAATTTTCGATATACGAATGTTAAACGTGCAACACAGAAATGAATAAAATGGCAACTTACAGCCTTCTCTAAAAGAATGGTATCTTCTTCCTGCCGGTAAATAGCATGGTAAGTATTTTGTCGAGTTGGTATAATCTCTCCTGATCCAATTCCATCAACAGCAGAACATACCATTTTCATAAGTCTCTGTGATAACAGTCGAAGCTAAGGATTGCACGAACGACGAGCTTTTATTTTTGCAGAATTCAACACGTTAGCAACACCATGCTGGAGGTTATATCGTTATGTAGAATATGTAGTTATTGGCTAGCTATTGGCTCAGCATCTACTGACAGGTCATCACCATAGATCTGGTCACCACTGGTATCGCACTAAAGGATATCCGTTAGAATGATGCTTATAATAATTATCAGGCCAAACAATAGAGTTGGTAGGAGGGGAAAAAAGCAAGTAGTAGACATACCTCAGAATCAACCGAGATAGGCGGTGATTCGTTTGCGGAGGACATTTGCGAAGAAATTATTCTGATATATGTATGGATTTTATCCTTGGACGCTGATGTCCCACGCGGCTAGCAACGATATAGCCTGTGATAAATTCCGCATCGAGAAAGGAAGCGGATGTCTTTACGAATATATATATATGTCTATATATCTATATATATGCTTCTATATAGTTCGTCGCCTTCTTCTGGTCCGGGTCCGAAAATGCGCGGGCGAGGCGAGGAGAAGGGAAACAGAAGCCAGCGAAAAGGCGGCGAGTGATCGAGAGAGAAAAAAAAAAAAAAATGAAAACATGGCGGCAGAGGGGAAGATTATCAGCGCCTTTTTCCTGACAGTAAGTCACCTTGGCTGGATCAAAAACAACGACCCCGACTCGTTCTAGTTTGTTGACTACCGACTAGTCAGTTGGAATACAGCGAACTATCAGAGTTTATTGCTATTATGCTTTTGTCCGCTGGGCTCGTTGGCGGGTGCGAGCTACAAATCTTTCGCAATCATTATTGCTGAGTTGGGCACAAGCAGAACTTCCGGGGACTGGTGAATCAGACAGCTCCCAGCCCAGCCCGGTCGATGGGTAAATGCCTGGCTCTGGTGCCACCAGTCTGGGAATTGCAGAGGGCTACTGGAGACTCTCCGCCTGGGCCAACTCTAAATTGCACCAGGCGGTGGCAGCTGAGGAGCGCCGGGGCCGCTGACCATGCGAAAATCCCAGCGATCGTGTTGCTGGCTCGACTGTGGGCTTCGGTGGGAACAGTCATTCGCTACATGTTACTCATGGCGCGCGGTTCTCAGGGGGAGCACATAACATCCGAACAATACGCAAACAAACAAACTATGTTTCGGGACTGTTTAGAAACTCAAGAACGAAGGGGGAAGGTAAAAACATTAACGACCAAGAAGACCGAGCCCTACGAAGTCTGAAATACGGCAACCTTCCAGCCCGTTTCTCCAGAAGAACGACAACTATGCAGTTGCTCGGCGTCATCAATTGGATGCCATGCATATCCCGACCCATGCAAACCCCGCCGACAACTCCCAAGATGCCTAACTAGCTCAGTTAAAACCAAGCGACCAGGGTGCCCAGATCACAGATGTGATACATTCAACTCCTTCCCCGCTACAAGAACCCAGTGAGAAGGCGAGCAAATGGGAAAAGCGACTCGGCGCGTTCGGCTGTACCCTTCCCACGGGAAGACCGCTCTCCCAACCATTCTGCAAGCCAGCTACGTATCGTCGGGTGGCCCTCTTCCTTGGAGTCCTCACGGGTTTCCAGCAATGCCGCTAAAGGCCTAAGCGGGATGTCTTCTGCGCCTCTGGTGCCAACGGATCATTGGGCGTTTGGGCCGTTTCTCTGCATGTTGGCAGGACAGGGTTCTAAACGATGGTCGCACATCCCCCCTCTTCGAAGGATTGCGCAATGATTGCAGTCCCAGACGGCTGGATCTGACCTTGTCCCAGCGAGGAGTTGGAAGTCAGCGTAACCTTGAAGCTTAGGATAGTCAGACCCGACAAAGAGAGGTTGTTGCAACCAACCCCGCCCCCTTAAAAAAAGAAAAACGGGCTAGGTTAGAATATTATCGATTTTAAGGGTCCTCTACGCATAGTACAATCATTATTTTTGATTTGCTGGGAATCAACAACCTCTAGTTGTGGTTCGCGGGATTTACGCACTAGCTGGCTACTGACGGCACTTGTGTGGTAGTGGACGATGAGACGACCAGCGACATTGTAAAATTTACACTCCTCTTATGTTGTCAGCAGGCGGCGAAGTTTAAATCCGGCTTTTGATTATTTGGGTTGCTGCTGAGAGCTTTTGGAGGAGGCTCGTACAATCTAATTTGTTGTTGATCGAGGCGGCAGATTGAACTAGGAACCTGGCTAGGGGATAGATGCACCGTTTAGCTCAGCTGGTCGGGGGAATAGGTATATTTTCAAGTAACGATAGCGGCATGCTGGAAACAAACAGAACGTACATGTACATCCGGATGTACAGTGCAGACCGTTTTGATATCATTATCAGTAAATTAAATTAATCAATCAAATCAATCAATGAATCAATCAACCAATCGGGAGAAAAGTCTTCAACCATCTCACCCGTCTAATCAGATTTTCAGTGGCTGAAAACGGCCATATGTACTGGGAAACCATGGAATCCCATTATTATTCCATAAACCGGGCTTGTTCAAATAGTGCTGAGTTCAAAAGCTATTTATTCGACGTTCGTCGGTTAACTTAACACATGCTTCCACATTAACATGAATGCCAGTTCAACAACCGATAATCTTAAATGTGGCTGACAAGACATGGCGCCGGATACCGGCCGGATAAGCTTTTTAAGTTCGCACAAGGGGATGCAGCAGTGAGAAACGCGAAGGAGTCCGGTCCGGTATGTATTATAGTTCCCGATTGAAGATGTTCAGCGAGTCACCTGTCAGCTATATAAGTGATTTCGCCAGGTTTAGATGGCATGGACTGTGCTATGTGATTCTAGGTAGTGGGCTTAATGGGCAGAGAAGGTGATCGTAAATTTATTGGCGGCTCGAGCCTTAGGCTCCTGATTTCTAGAAAACAAAGCCACTGGCCGGGTTTGCAAGGATAAAAGGGAAGGCAGACGGAAAGAAATAATAGTTCGTAAATGGGCGTTAATCAAATTAATAGGAGGGAATCAAGATTGTAAAAAAGACGGAGTGAAGTTTGACAAATGTATGCTCAGAATTGATCTGAGGTTGTGATTTTAAAGAGTTAGCGATCGAAGCAAGAAAGTTGTGAAACAGATGGGAAAAAGCCACCGCAATGAACGGGCCTTCTCTCCAACTAGTGGAACATTAAAAACATACCCAAGGTCATGCTCATGCTGACATCCGTATTCTCCACCATGCGCGTAAATTCCTCGAAACTAATCTTCCCATCGCCATCTTTATCAGCCTCCATAATCGTCTTATCCACGATCTGCTGCAGCTGCATATCCTTCAAGTTGCTCCCAACCATCATCTTCAAGACAATAAACAGCTCCCCGTTCGAAATGTAACCGTCGCGGTCGATATCGTAGACTTTAAAAGCAAAACGCAGCTTCTCCTCTTTATTACCCTTTGAACTGAAGGCTGATAGTCCCGAGACGAATTCTTGGAAGTCCACATCGCCACCTCCATCTTCATCGAAAATGGCAATCATTCTGCGTAAGATTTGGGGATTAGCGAAGTGCTCACAATCGACAGTGAGGAAGGGAGTATCCCCGTTGGGTCGAAGTTATCACGGTGCCGGGGAAAGCGGGCAATTACCGTGTCGCAAGAGGGTTCGAGGAGACTTGTGGAAGGGAAAGGAACTCATCACGCTCAATCGTGCCGGAATTATCCTATATTAGATTCCATGGATTTTAGCAGGGTATGAAACCCATTTGCGAAACTCGCCTCCGCGAGTCGCACACCAAAATATAAAACATATCAATAGTGGAGCCTCACCTTATCAAGTTTCATAAACCGTTTCCGTAGTCTGTCGACCTCATCCCGATTGACTGAAATTATCAAATGCCAATTGTTAACTGCATGTGGTTATAGGATATGACGGGGAACGCATTAGCAACGACAGTTACAACGTACAATTGGAAGCTGACACTATGCTATCTAGGACCTCCGAGCCTGAGGTCTTCTGTCTGCGCCTTGCGTCATACATGGCTGCGTTATTAGGTTCTGCGGCCATGGTGAAGGTGGGAGGAGCCAAAGGAAGGATTATATGCGGGGAAATGGGAATTGAAAGGTCTGAAATCTAAATCATGAGGTATAATAAGTGCAAGTCGAAGAGCACAAGACTGGCTATTATCTTAAGAACGGCATTTATATAACGCGATAAGTGAATTGTATTCTTGTAGTAGTTGTAGTTGTAACTTATCAAAAAATCCAACATTGAAGTCACTTTCCGTTCAATCAACCAGAAAGGATGAAGATGACGTAAGTAGCACTAAACCATAATAGGAAGGCTCTGCCGTTCTGAGGCATTTTGATATTGACTGTACCCGCACTAGCCGCATTGGGGAATTTAAGCGGGCCCCTGAGGCTGTCTGGATGCCCAAAACAGGCCGTTGTTAGTGTCAAACCAACGTCAACCCAAGAAACCACTGTTTTGCCACGGCATTGCCAACTGCTTTATCTGACCACCACGTCGCTCGATCGCGCTGGAAATACCTCTATGCGACTTTGCATGAGCTGGCCTATTGATTGATACCCTTTTTAGGGCCTGTTGCTTATGACCGACCGGATATTTTCGCCCCAGAGTTATGTCAAGGCTCGGGGGGATGATGCGCTCGACGCGTCCAAAGAAACTCACCTCCAAACAACCCATCCCCATATTCCGTGAAGATCAAGTAGATCTTATTGACGATGACCTCCAAACTACTCTACAGGCCATCGATACCGGCGTTGAGAAGGCTGAGGAAACCGTGAGTCACATTCCCCAGTGTTCTTCGTGTTGCCTAGTTATATTATCACGTGATGTTGAAAATTTTCAACGAGAAGAGCAAAATGAATATGAAAAAAAAAAAAAAAGAATCGGAAATAAGTGCGGTAGATTGCGCTGACAACGCTTGCTTTCTGTATCTTCTGTAGGAATACCATCTCCAAGCGGCGATAAATGCTGCTGCTCGTGGGAACGTTGCGCAGGCTCATATCCCTACCCCCGAAACAGTAACAAGCTCCATCAAATATGACACCTTGTACAAGCCCACCTTCTCGCAACCTGCGACGTACATCCGTTTTTCATCCACGGTGGAAGATTGTAGCGGGTGTAGTTATAATTTAGTCGAAGAGGACGATGTCGCTCTTAAGATTATGAACCAGAAGAAGGATGCGTCGACACAATGCACCGAGGATCAATTCGAAGAGGTCATGGCCTTCTTCGAGGAGACTGCCCAGACCAAGCAGCCGTTTGCATCGGTCGATAGCCCTCCGGTACTCCCATATTCTGAAATGGAAAATTCCTTTGACGGGCTTGTAGATGAGAAAATAAGGAGGTTTGCCAAGGATATCTATGAACACTGGAAGGCCAGGAGAACCAAATCTGGAAATCGCCCCTTACAGACAGGACTCAAAGTGAGTACCGCAATCGTGCATAGAAGTGGATGTCCAGTGCTAACGCGCCTTTCACAGTTTGAGACCGGCCAAGAAACAGACGATGGTGATCCATACGTTTGCTTCCGTAGAAGGGAGGTGCGACAAATCCGCAAAACCCGTGGTAGGGATGCCCAGAGTGCCGAGAAGCTTCGGCGACTTAGAAAGGAGTTAGAAGAAGCTCGAGAGTTAGTCGCCATGGTACGACAACGCGAACTAGCAAGGAAAGAGTTGCTTATCGCAGAGCGACAAATATTTGTCCAACGGGCTGAGGTAAAGGAGATGAAAAGGAAACTTGGTATCAAGGACGATGATGATGACCTCGTCAACCAAAGGGTAAGAATTGTGGTTCGCATACGACCTGAGAACTCTCTTGCTAATGTCGTATCACAGCAGCCTAAGAAACGGCCTGCAGAAACGCCAGCTGGCGGTCGTCCTGTCACCACACAGCTCCGCATGCCCCCCCGACCTGGAGGGCACCCTGGAGAGGACCTGGTACTGCTGGATGACGTTCAAGCAGATAAAGAAAACGAAGTTTTACGTGAAATCAAGCAAAACATCGCCAAACATGCTAAATGGAATGAGGGATATGTCGATTGGACGACAGCACCACTTACTCCAACTTCAGACCATAGCTTTGATGCGGAGTTCCGTCCGGCAATCACCACAGAATATCTTCCCACACCTCCAGCTTCGGAGTCCTCGGACCATAGTCGAGATGCGTTGGAAGAGGTGAACCGTTTCGATGCACTGACCAAGTTCGCCATGAAGGTGCGACAGTGTACACCTTCAGAAGAAGAGTCCAGTAGAAACATGCCGTCCTTCCGGCGACGTGTAGGTCGTGGCGGGCGGATGATGATCGATCGTCGCAACCTTCCCTTCAGAAATAAGTCAGAGGTTGATCCGATAAAACTCGAGCGATTCAAGTATGATCAAGACGATGAGGACATGGATCCGATATTTGAAATGGATCAATTCGATGTCCAAATCATGCAACACCGGGCGTATCTTTCAGCCAAGTCGAGGGATCAGGCCGCAGCACAAGCCCAGCTGCAAGCACAGCTGCAAGCTCAACGGCGCCTTCAGGGAGAAGCCGCTGTGATGGCGGGTCCAAACAGCTCCTTGACCGGAGCGACCAACACAGTACTGAAAGGGCCGCCGTCGGCTCAAGCTCCGTCTTGATGTATCTCTTATTCGCTCTATTTCGTTTTCGTGAGTGCCTCTTAGCATGGTCGGCGTTTGTGGTCTGGCCCGGTTTCTCAGGTTTTTCGTTTTGGTGCTTCTTCTCGTCACAATATCTTGAGAAGGGTTGGTCAGCTTTTTAGTGACATCCTCACATACACCTATGTCACCATTTAGGAGGGGTTTTGGACTCTTTTCAACACACCCTCAATTCCATCTTACATCGACGCAGGCGATATAAATTTGCCATCACCTGCGGAAAAATGGAGCACCCCGCTTTCACCTCTATATATGTTAATGTACATAGTCCAAAATGGTATATCGTGGGTATACCGTGTACAATACTGCTAAAGTTAGCTAAAAATCCTTAAAAAAAATGGGAAATATTGTAAAAAACGACTCAACATCATCGTTCTTTCGTCCCTTCCTCTTTAGAGAATGTTTTATTTTTTGCCTTTCTGGATTCTAAGCTCCTTCAATTGATTTGTACCACATTCGTTCATAGCTTCCTTCGCTTCTCGTCCGAAGCTACGGAGAGTTCCGTACTCCGCTTCATGCCTGAATTGGCGTCAGGTAGTTTAATGAATTCTCCAAGAGCGGCAAGGAGTTGTGACAGTATTTCTTTTTCTCCCATTCGGACTTGCAGTGCCATCTTAAAGCGCCTTCCGGACACAGTGGATGCCTGGACGTTGGAAATTGTAGCTAAAAGCTGCTTGTCCTGCTCGAGCGTTGTGATGTATCCGCCCAGTGCCTGTTGTACCGCGTGTCCAAGTAAAGTAGCTTGCGTCACTCCTAGTGTAGGGTTCGGAGCCTTATTCTTCGTTTTGCGCTCGCTGAATTGTTCGGGCGGCATTGTTAGGGTATTGAGAGCGATCAATAGCTCCTCGGGGAGCGCTTCCATTAAGGGTGTATTGGGGTTGAGTCGTGGGATGCCGTAGCCGTCATCAAACACTCCCAAATTTTCTAAGAATTCTAGCTGTAGGAAAATTAGTCATATTTTAAGCAGGTAAGCTCGGTGAAGTGAGGACATACGCGGGGCTGCTCTGGGTCGGGGGTTGCAGGTTGGATCCCAGCTGCTTTACAAATGGCTTGCATGGAAATTTCAGCTTCATCGTACTGGGCATAGTTGTCAGTAACGTAACCATAACGTCTTAGCAGGTCTGCACGAGGTAGTTCGCCGTAGTCGTTGAAAATTTCCTCCCCGTTTCGTATGGGTTTTATTGATTTCATTGCAAGATAACCATCTTCCTGGAACAGTCGTGCCTTTACGCATAGTCAGCATGTGAATGTATATGATGCTGCGATAAGTGGAAGTACTCACGTTATTTCGATCTGCATCCGCATTCAAGAGATCCGCCAAAGGCACCATTCCTTTGGTCAGCTCCTCCCCCTCGTCTGTTATGTAACCATCTTGGACCTCCCCCTCTTCGTCCTCTCCCTTTTCAATATCAAAAGCATAAGCCATAATCAATGAGCCCATTCGATGAGCAAGAGAGAGTAGTGTCGCCCTGCCATCTGGCGAGTCATACGATCCCAGACCGCTAATGGGTGGGAAAAGGTGAGGATTCGTTGAAACAATAGGAAAAATATCCCGAAGGATAGCCGCTTCTGCATCAGATTTACCGATTTTGTTTAATACGGCGCTTCCGCTTAGTTCCCGGAGTTCCTCATCAGTCCAAAACATCAGGGTATCAAATTCTGTGGGCAGGACCTGGAAGTATCGTGACCATGGAGATGCCCCACCTTGGAGATACTCGTATATCATCACAAGAATGAGACAAAGCCATGGGCCCAAATCCTTCTCACTTATATGTAGAAGATCTTTAAGCTTCGAATTTTGAAAACTAAGCACTAGGTTTTGTGGTATGGCAAAGAGCTCTTCGTCTTCGTTGATATTGCTAAGGGCCACTGGTACACCAGAAGCATTAGCACAAAAAAAAGCAACAATGAAAGGATTTCAAAGGAATAAAGTGGGATAAGCAAACCAATGCCTCTTCCGGCACCTTCAGACCTCAGATCTGCAATTTTAATCTTCGGGCTCACTCTGACTCCAGCGCTCTGCTTTAGCCAGCACATAAATTCGTCTGACAACTGCGAAAACCTATCGCACTCCCCAAAATGGCTGTAGTTCGACATAGTGCTTGGATTCCAGGTGCGAAAAAATGGCAAACGAGGGAAGATGAATGTAAGATTGATGCTGGAGAGCGTACAAACGAGGGGAATGAAAAATATAGTACAAACCCTGAGGATATAATACTTTTCCAAATCTTCTGAGTGCAGACGGTGTGAACGAGATTAGTCCGAGCTTCGGATAAACTGCTGGGGGTTGTTCCGCCGATGGGAAATCACGTGGGATCCATCTTACCCCACCGTCCAGTTCGTGAGATGGCCATGACTATCATATCCCAATTCCCGCATTTAATTGTTTCCGACATACTTAGTAATCGACAGCCATGATTGCTATAGGCCTGGAGGGCTCGGCTAACAAGCTGGGAGTCGGGCTGATGCTACATCCTGACGACGGTGGTCCGCCGCAAGTCCTCTCCAATATCCGCCATACCTTCGTTTCTCCCCCGGGCGAGGGGTTTTTACCTAAGGACACGGCTAGGCATCATCGCGCATGGGTTGTGAATCTTGTGAAACGCGCTTTGAAAGAAGCTCGAGTTACAGTGAGTGATGTGGATTGTATCTGTTACACGAAAGGCCCCGGCATGGGCGCCCCTCTACAGAGTGTCGCTGTCGCTGCGAGGATGTTAAGCTTATTATGGGGGAAAGAATTGGTTGGAGTTAACCACTGTGTTGGACGTATGTTTCCCGCTTTCTCTCATGCTTCATTTTGTAATTCCATAAGTCCCAAATTTAAGAACCTTCAGATCACTGGGCCGTTTGAGGCCTAGGTTTCGGGGATCACTTAGAAAATCATAATCAGCGCGGATTTTCTAACTGGACAGTAGATATCGAAATGGGACGGTATATAACGGGAGCTCCTAACCCCATTGTGCTCTACGTCTCGGGGGGAAACACCCAAGTTATCGCATACAGCTCCCAGCGGTATCGAATATTTGGCGAAACACTTGACATTGCCGTTGGAAACTGTCTTGACAGATTTGCTCGTACGCTACATATCTCTAACGATCCAGCACCTGGGTACAATATTGAACAGCTAGCAAAAAAGGGGCGGAGACTGGTAGATCTTCCTTATGCGGTCAAGGGGATGGATTGCTCTTTCTCGGGAATTTTAGCATCTGTGGATGCATTAGCTACATCTCTTGGGCTGGGCGGGGAAGAGCAGGCAAGTAAAGACGCTGTCGAGCAATCGGTAGATGTCATCAGTGACATGACGAATGACGACATTCCTACGCGGGCAGACCTCTGTTTTTCACTTCAGGAAACAGTGTTTGCCATGCTTGTTGAAATCACAGAACGTGCGATGGCACATGTCAACTCGAAAGAAGTGTTGATTGTCGGCGGCGTGGGCTGTAATGAGCGTTTACAAGAAATGATGGGGATCATGGCTCGTGATCGTGGCGGAAGCGTATACGCAACGGACGAACGGTTCTGCATTGACAATGGTATAATGATCGCTCAGGCTGGTTTATTGGCTTATAAAAGTGGATTTCGAACGAAGTTGGAGGATTCGACATGCACGCAGAGGTTTAGGACTGATGATGTTTTTGTTAAATGGAGAGATAATTGACATATCAACTCAGGCGTACCGGTTAGACATTGAGCATTTACAGTTAGGCGTTGCAGTTGGTCATCATACTCTGGAACCTAATCCTATTTCGCGTGCTAAAATTTTTTTGGGCGACGGGTCAACATACAACGCAATGTGATTTCATCACTACATCGATTAAGGGAACAGTTTCCTGCTACTGCGATAAGCATAGAGCATCCATAGAAGGAATTTAGGTGTTAAATTTTCAAGCAAATCCCTAAAGCAACTTCCAGACAAAAGGATACCAGACTATTTTCGACATGCCGCGATCTCGAAGCATAATTTAGCTGGGCAAGATTCAAGAGTATCTGTTCACTTTGGCCCTATATGTGATCAAATGGGCTGTTCTCCAATGGCCTCACGTCGTTTCTAAGCTCAGCGGCTGCTCGTCAACACAAACATTTACCAATAAACCGGTACCGGATTCGGCTCATGTCTTCTAGCCCGCAATGGGAAAGAAGCGCAGCCTTAAATGTGGTGGTTAAGTTTGTGTATTACGAACAGACATCAACTAGATACGAGGATCCTAGGAATCCTGGCTGCGCATCAAGGACCTAACATCGTTCGCTTTTTGACAGGGAAAACACGTTCGCTCTGATTGAGTTATCACTTTACTTGCTTCTGGAACCCCTGAATTCCTCAGCTTACGCAAAGTTACGCAAGCATGGGCAAAGCCCCACTGAAACAAGAGTCCGTGTATGCGTTCCTTGTCGATATAATCTATCAACTGCGACCGTCTTGCTGGCTTGCTGCCTTGCTTTACTCTTCCTGGGATTGTGGTTCTGGGAATGAAACCGGGATATGAATCAGCTATATTTTCATATATTTTCTAGTGTTATCTCCAGGAGGGAGCTCTGATATTTTACCCGCCGGCGGCAGCCCGGTTCTGCATACCCGCACCAGTTGTCAATTGCCAATTGAAGCAGAGTATGAATAAAATGAAGGGGTGTGGAAGCAGAACAAAGGGAGAAAAATTTGATCGAGTTTCAATATTTATATTTAGTTACAACCAGAGAAAAAACAGCAAATCTCACGACTTTCCTCACCTGCAGACGGATCACGCGCCGTTCAGAGCCAAATTCGCAAGCTCAGCTGTAGTGGAACATGCCACATCTGACAAGTAATACCTCCACCACTGATGTATTCTAAGTCATCCATCTCATCACTCATGTGTTTTAGAAGTTGATAGTGTTGGCAGTTATCCCCGTTAGGCCTGAGCTCCTTCTTATGCATCCTCTTGTGCATCGGCACACCGAAGGCATTCACAAGATATTCGGAATCCGTTGCTAGCTTGACATGCTGCACGCTGATGTTCTCCTCAGAGATGTGTCCTATTATCTGCAGTGCCTTGGAAAGCGACTCAATCTCAGCGCGGGTCTTGGTCTGTGATATCGTCGGCTCGAGGAGCTCGGAGGTATTGTAGCGGGAGTTGGGTCCGAAGAAAACGCTATAAGCGGCCCGAGCAACAGATCGCCCTTCGTTATGGCATGCGCCATGAATATATAGAGCAAGTGTGGAATTAGCAGGCCGTGGAGCCTCTGGTGCGGACGGAACGCAGCCTTGCAGCTGAAAGTATTCCCTTTGTTGGTTGTATGTAACCAGTTGAGTTGGGAAGTAGCGGAACACTGGTCCATAGAATGGACTATGCTCAGGATGGAAAACTCGGTGGATTTCTTCTTCGGCGTCGTTAAATACCCTCGCACTATCCATGTTTGTATGATACATTTTTCACACTTCGAATTGACTTTCTAGCTGCTACTAGGATATAGTAGCTTTACGCCTTCTCGAGAGAGTTGAGCGCGGGAGCTGGTGATGACATCATAGCTACTTGGCCGATGTCTGTCGTCAAGATAAGCTGCGATTGTAAGGTGTCAGGCGCTAGTCCCAAAACAGGATGCATCTGAACTTTAAATTCTTTTTATCTCCAGTTCAGGCCAGCGGGAAATTTTTTTTGATATGATTTCTACATAATTTAGCTAAAAATACAACGTCATATATTCAAATCTACAGTTAGTTACCTGAGGAGTCGCAACTTGCTAGCACTAGAGGCTACCGCGATCATCTATCCGGGCACAATTCGAACCGAGCTGACGGAAATCCCTTTGGTTCACATTCATTAAATTACTCAAATTTCTGTAAAATACGATATATTTATAGCGAATATCCAAACATCAAGATGCCAGCTTCCACGCATTCCCAAGATGAATCTATGCCCGATGCTGCTCCGCAATCGCATGAGCAGGAGCCGCAGCACCAAGAGCAAATTGAGGACGAAGAAGATACGATCGAACTAGATGGTCAGAGAATTACCATTGTGAGTAATTAGCTGTTGTCGCCCCCTTTTTCAAACATTTTGTTAGGGTTTAGCTATGCCCACTGCCGCTCTAGGCGAGCAATGAACGCCAGAGCTTTCTCCAACTATTCTTATTTTAAAATAAGTAGCTACATGATTATGTTTTATCTGCCATGCTTTTGATAATTTATACTCTATCTCAGGAAACTTTTTTTTTTTTTTTTTTTTTTTTTTTTGACCTCTTGCTAACCCTGCTTCCAGTTACCTGGTGCTGCGGAGACGGCTGCCTCTTTCCAGTTCGATAAGGAAGACCATACCCTTGGAAACGCACTGAGATACGTGATTATGAAAAAGTGAGTATTCCTTCAGCTTGTAGCAGCTAGCATGGGTAAATCGTTCCAGCGAAATTTGTCACCAAGGGATGCATGGGGGAGCCTCGATATCCCTTTCTTCCAAGGGACGGCGTGTGTCTAGATGTGGACCGCACATCTCGTATCTCTTATCCCTTGTTCAATTTTTCACGTCTCATTAGCTACAAGCAATGAACCAGCCCTTTGATCCGCGTACAGGATATTACAGGGTAGTTGCTGTCTCAGCCTGCTAACCTCACCCGTTCTACAGTCCCGAAGTCGAATTCTGCGGATACACAATGCCACATCCTTCAGAAGCTAAAATGAACCTGCGCATCCAGACATATGGTACGTATACCTCGATCTCTGCCTCCCTTCTTAATCCCCAGTTTACATTGTGCATGTGGCATATTTACCACAAATAGGGGCTACGTATCCCAAAAAAAAAAAAAAAAAAAAAACTAACAGCCAGCCAAACAGACACGACAAACGTCTTTGAAGTCCTGGAAAAGGGTTTTGATGACCTCATGGATCTGTGCGATACGGTAACAGAGACCTTCATGGAGGCAAAGAATGCCTTCGGAGAAATTCAGAGCCAATGATTTAAGACGAGAGATCATATTTATTTTTTCGTTTATTGCTCACCTGTATTTCTTCTGCAAACAGGAAGTGGAAGTAGGAAAACCAAAGGAAAAGGGAAATATTCGATGGTATTTTGATTCTTATGGTATTTAACACAGCTTAACTGGTGCATGGAGTTTTTATTTATTTATCAAATTTTATTTTACATTTTACATATTGGTCTTTGTCTTGGGTCGCTTCGTCGGTATTTCCATTTCTTATTTATAATCGAAATGAATGGGTTTGACAGAAGTAGATGGGGTATTAACAAGATCCGGAGTATCTTTTTTCTTTCCTTTCGTTTCGGCTCCCTTGGTAA